ACATTGAGATGCAATCCATACCAAAGACTGTGCTCTCTGATATTCATCAGTAAATATTTTATGTTTTCTTCACTTTCAGCAAGTAAGTGAGATTTAGTAATGTATTATTATTATTATTTTGCTTACAACAAATCCATTAATAAATATCAGTATGCTGTAGGGTGAGATATTAGCTTAAAACAATTGGTTACATGTATTTGTGTATAGTTTCTATTCAATATGCATTAAGAGATAGTTTAGAAAGTTAAAAGGACAAAATTTCCTGGATTAAAACAAACAGGTGTAGTGCTGCAGGACTGCAAGGTCCTACAATGTGCTAGATTGCAAGGTCAATTTGAACTGCAAGGTCAGCAGTTCAAGCTCATTAGCCACTCCTCAGAAACCCTATACAGGATTGCTATGAGTTGCAACTAACTCCAAGGCACTTCACAACAACAACAACTGTATATTTAACTGATTTATAATTTTTAACTGTCACGATGCTGTCTTATATTTGTACTCATTTGTATATCTTTAAAATGGATGCCCTTTAACTTTGGTAAATACCTGTAGTCACAGTTTATTTCTGAACTCTTTTCTTAGAATATGTTTTTAAAATGGTACTGAGAACTTTCTTCCCTTAGAAATAATGTTAAGACTCTTGTTTGTTTAATTTATAATATCTTTCTGTATCATAATATAGCATTAAACAATTTGCTATATACAATTCACTTGTACTACTGGTAATTGTTGTTGTTAGGTGCTGTCAAGACAGTTTCAACTCATAGGGACCCTGTAGAGAGTTTCCGTAGATTTTGAAAAATCCATTTCTGGAGCAGAAAGCCTAATCTTTCTCCTGGAAGAGCAGCTGGTGGACTTGAACTGCTGATCTTGTAGATCACAGTCTGACAGTGCCACTGAATGCCCCACTGCTAATTAAACAAGTAGAAAAACAGGGAAAATATTTATCTTATTAATTCCCATGGCACTGTAGGATAAACACTGGACTGCTAACCATAAGTTGGTGACTCAAACCCACTAGCCATTCCTTGAAAACCCTATACAGAGTTGCCATGAGTTGGAACGAATTCAGTGACACAACAATCTTCATGTAACGCTGTTGAATAGGCACTGGACTGCTATCACCAAGATCAACAACCCCTTGAATCTGGTACAGAAATGATCAGTAAAAAATGGATGTTAAGAACAAACACTCTAGAATCAGACTCTAGGTTCAAATCCTATCTCTATCATTGAATTAGCTGTATAAGTTATTGAATTAATCAAAAGGTTTTCTTTGCCTGTGAAATGAAAATGACATAGTGTTTTCCTCATGCAGTTGTCAAGATTCAATTTAAATCTCATAAATTAAGTGTCTAACACACAACAAGCACCAATAAATGTTAGCACTTTTCTCCAGTTATCAACAGCATTCTTCTTCTTACTGATTGTAATTAGATTTATTTTTATCTCACAAAGTAGAACAAAGGGATTATCCGGCTGTGAACTGCAGGGTCAGCAGTTTGAAACTACCATCTGTTCCATGGGAGAAAGATGAGGTTTTCTGTTTCCATAAAGATTTACAGCCTCAGAAACCCTGTACAGGGTCACTATGAGTTGGAACCAGCTCCATGGTACATAACAACAACAACATTAGGTTCCAGCCACCATTTGTCTCTCAGTTTTAGTTCTGTGGTGGCATGCTTATTGCTATGATTCTGGAAGCTATGCCATGGGTATTTTAAAGATGAGCAAGGTCACCCAGGATAGACAGTTTTGAGATGAGCTTCCAGACTATGGCTCCTCAAAATAGAATTGATCATGATTATGCAAATGGAATAAAGTTTGGGACCTTCATTTGCTGATGGGACACAACACAAAATGAAGAGAAACAGCTATAATCATTCGTTAATAATCAGAACATGGAATGTACCAAATACGAATCTAAGAAAATTGTCAAAAATGAAATGGAAAAAATAAACATTGATATCCTAGCAATCCATGAATTTAAATGGACTGCTAATGGTCATTTTGAATCTAACAATCACATGGTTTATTATGCCGGGAATGACAAATTTAAAGGAATAGTGTCACATTCATTATTTAAAAGAACATATCAAGGAGCTCTGGTAGCGTAGTGGTTACGAATCGGGCTGCGAACCTTATGGTCAGCCGTTTGAAACTACCAGCTGCTCCGCGGGAGAAAGATGAGGCTTTCTACTCCCGTAAAGATTTACACCCTCGGAAACCCTGTACAGGGTCTCTATGGGTCGGAACCGACTCGACGGCACTTAACAACAACAACAACATAGTAGATGGTGGTTACGAATCGGGCTGTGAACCTCAGGAACAACAGTTCGAAACTACCAGCTGTTCCGTGGGAGAAAGACGAGGCTTTCTGCTCCCGTAAAGATTTACAGCCTCGAAAACACTGTACAGGGTCGCTATGGGTCGGAACCGACTCTACGGCACATAACAACAACAATAGTTGATGTAGTCCTTTTGTGGCGCTGTGGGCTAATGTGTCAGACTGCAAAGTCATTTGAACTGCAAGGTTGGTATTTCAAGCTCACCAGCTGCTCCTTGGAAACCCTATACAGGGTCTCTATGGGTCGGAATTGATTCGACAGCACGTAACAACAACAAAGTAGATGACCTGATTTCTTTCAATTATACAAATCTATGAAAAACCTTACTCATTGAGTCATAATAGTAGTTAATCTTAATGAACATTTTATACTAGTAAAATACTGACAAAATAAATTGCAATGATTCTCTTTAATTTGAATCCATCAGAAATAGGCTTGTTTCATGTCCCCCAGTAAGTTTTTCAGTAGTGTTAATGTAGCCTTTTTCACTCAATCTAATATACATAATGACTGTGTAGAAACCACCAGATCATGGACAGATACAGACATAGAGGGCTATAGAGGAAGATAAAAAGAAATAGTGGGAAAGGGGAGAGAGATGGCTAGATACTTCTACCTAGTTAGAGATAGAATGATGATAACTAGTTTGCTAACTAAACAGATGGATGGAAACAGATGAAAGATAGAGTGGAAATGCCCTGTATATTTTTCTCTGCTGTAGGAACTTATAGAATAGAGTACAATAGAGATGCCATTGTTGTTGTTGTTAAGTGCTGTCAAGTCCGTTCCAACTCATAGTGACCCTGCATAGGGTTTCAGAGGGGCAGCTTGTGAGCTTGAACCATTGACCTAGTGGTTCACACAGACTTTGCAGTTTAGTGCATTAAACCACAGCACTACACCAAGACTCCAGTACTAGGATAAAGTAAGAAACAAGTCAACAAACTTTGGGCAATTCATAGCCTACATCAGAGGTAGAGGGAGTTCCATTAGATTGTATTAAATAAAAGACAGAGTTAGAACTTCAGAATTGCAATCAACTGGGACTCCAATTAAAGTAAAATTTCAGCAATTTTAGGTGGAGTAAATAAGAATTTACTTCTGCTCTACAAAAGACAAAAAGTCTTGCTTAATTTTTTTTTTAAAGTAAACAATTGACTATTCTATCAAAGAATGATACTGAGTAGTGACACAGAGGCAATAAAACTTTTTTAAAATATAAAAGTAAATTTGGAGTGAAGCATCAGATCAAATTATAATTCCCATACTAAGTTTTTTGTTTTTTTTCTATGTGATGTACCATAAGTTACATAAATCCTAGGTAAATTATATGGAACAGTACCTTTCTTTTAGCCTTCAGTTGCTCATGATACTTGTCACAGGTATCTCCTGGGATCTCTCCTCCCCAGAGAGTAACTCCAACGATGGTATATGTGATACCCATGATGAGCAGTGGGAAACAGTATACCAGTATAATGACAATAATATGGTATCTGCAAAAAATCAAAAACAAAAACAAAACAGTATACTGAGATGTATTGTCTACACTTTGAATTCATTCAGTTTTAAATCTTAACTAAAAATGTCAAAAGATTATCTCTAGGCTCTCATTTTTCAAATGTGCCTTAATATCCTGTTAGTGTTGGTGGTGATGTTAAGTGCCATTGACTCAGTTCTGACTCACAGTGACCCTATATAGAGTTTCAGAGGCTGAAAATCTTTACAGAAGCAGAACACCTCAGCTTTCTACCTCAGAGCAGCTGAATCAGTCCAGTGTTTAACCTGCAGTGGTTAGCAGGGCTTCTCAACATTACTACAGTTGCTTAAAAAGCCTTCTAGTTGATTTTTGCCAAACTTTATGTTGTATGTCGAAACTATAACTGAATTGAAGTACTCATTTAAACTACACATATTTCCTTTACCTAGAGATCTAAGATTAGGGTCTTTTCTCTTCTTGTTAATTGTTGAGCTAACGTAAATTAAACTTATGTTCAGAAAAAATATGTATGGAGCAGAATGACATAATCAATTGACATATTTCCTCCAATATAAGACTATTTTGTACATTTAAGTAACATAACAAATAGTGAAATACATTGTTTTTCTCCAAATAGAAAAAAATGCAAGTAGATACTGTGTTATAATGGTTACACAAATTATTTATTAGGTATTTAAATAAACCAGACAAAAATATTTATAAGCATTTTTCCAAAGTCAAAGTGCAATTGATTGTATTGTTAACTTTGTAAGTAACACACAGATGTATTAACCACTCCAAATATATAATATTATATATTATCAAATTATAGTGTGGCATTTTATAGCTTTCAATTAAAATCAGAAATATAGAGTTAGGGAGGATTAAGAATATAAGCCAAAGTATAATAGCCCAGAGTTTTTACAAACTTGTGTGACTTCCATTATCTTAGCAAAGTTTTAAAGTAATTGGAATTTGTTGTAATAGTCCTTCTCAATACCTGTGTATTTTTGTAAAGGCAATCCTAAACCCCCATGTCTTCCTAATTCCTGGTAATGTATGCACTAAGTATTTATGTAAAGTAAATGAAGAAGGAATTCAGTCAACATATAACCTAATTTTAAAGTTTCAATTATAACATAAACTAATATTTATTAACAATGGTAGATGGTAAACAATATTTAGTTTAATAACTGCTGTCTGGTTTTCCTTCAGTAAATGCTTCCTAATATTTTTCTCCTAAAATCTGGAGAGCCAAATTAAATAAAGTGACTACATTTAAAGAACAGCAATATATTTTCATCATTTGTTATTTTTAAAGTGAAAAGTTACAAAATGGGAAATTTTCTGAAATAAAATTTAAGTAATCAAAACAAAAGAATAAAATTCATCCAACTCCGTAGTATTGTTCATTTTATTTTGCTTTTCTTAACATGCTAAATTATATCATGTAGATTTTCTATATTCTGTTCAATTTAGGATCCAATTTTTTTAATGCTAAAACGAATTAACAAAATACAAACTAAATCAAAACAAGATGAAAGAACCTGTCAGATTTCCCTTTCTTTTCACCAACCTGGCTTTTTAATGCAGGAAGTAACACCTTTGGATTTAAATTCCTCCCTTCTCATGCATTTCTTAACCCATAACAGTTCTGTTTTTCTTTGTGCACCGCTTTCAGTTCCAGTGATCTTGTAAATGCCTAATTCAATTATCTGCTCATTGTTTAAAATTTTATCAGCTGTAACCCCCTCTAGGAAATACTCCAGGGTTATCCAAAAGAGTCTTTATTACATTTTTCCAACAGAAGATTTATGTAACTTATGTAAATGTATTGATCATATCATATTTTGTACAGGTCTCATTTCACAAATAATATGAGCTGCAGATGTAAAGGTTTTC